AGAATACTTTTGGGAAATATTAGGTCTAATGACAACCAATAAACTGTGAGCTGAAGCTTAGAGAATATACTTCAGTTAAAAATGAAGTAAAAATCTGACTGTACTAACACTTGAAATGTAATAAATGTTACTCTTCTTCATCACAAAACCTGGCTGAATTCTGCTAGCTATTCTCAGATAAAAAGCTGAAAATGTAATCAGGAGGGCAGCAATTATTAAACATTTTTGTAATGTCTCCTTAAATAAAATATACCAGAATAATCCATTGTTTAGCTGAAAATGTTAGCTGAATTAGTTCAGTAATAATTACTCACACTTACCAAATATCCTTGCCAAAACTATTAACATTCAACTCAGTTAAAACCTATTTTTAGTCTGGTGAAATGTCAGAATCCTAAAAGTTCTTAAGAGTTTTCCTGGAATGATCTGAAGTAAGTATCACAGATGTCTGAAAACTCCATGAATGCTCACTTACATTGCTTAGATTGTGCTTTCTTTAGAACAATCCTTGAAATCTAGAAAAAAGCCATTTCCTTCAAGCCAAGTTCTGTTCCTATCGACTTCATAGAGACCACCATGTAGTTTTCTTGGCAGTGGTATGGAATTATTGTACGGCGTGCTTTTTCAACTTCTGATTGAAACTATGGCATTAGGCATGTCCACTCTACTTAGCTTGAGCCCATATAAGGTCAGTCAGCATGTCCCCAAACATGCCTAAAATTAAATGAGCATATACTGAAGGCATTCTTCCTTATTGTACACATAACCCCAAATAAATAGTTTATCATGCCCATTATATTTATGTAAGTGTAGTTAGACTTCCACCATGATGTCTCTTTATATTTAGGTCTATATTAGACTTCCCAACCTAGCCTGCAGAACATGTGTTTTCTAGTGCTATCCTACCAGCTAAGCAGCTTCTTTCTTTCTCTTTCTTTCTTTCTTTCTTTCTTTCTTTCTTTCTTTCTTTCTTTCTTTTTCTTTTTCTTTTTCTTTTTCTTTTTCTTTTTCTTTTTCTTTTCTTTCTTTCTTTCGTTCTCTTTCTCTTTCTTTCTTTTTTTGCAATATTTTTATTGAGCATTTTCCAACAGTTTGTAACACATAAACACTTTTTACAATGTTGCAGCATCATCAACATTCATATTCTCATATTAGTTACAGTATTACTTTTGTTTCTATTATCTAACCAAGTGTACCAGGCGTCCCAGACTAACTAATATTCCGATTGGCTTGGTGTGACCATCTAACTGGATTGAATAAGATTACATATTTCCAAAGGAAGGACAACCAGACTAGACTATTAAAACATATCAATGAGCCAAAAATGCTTGGGGGAAATTGGTCACATTAATACACAAAGCTTTTTATATTTTGACTGGATGTTTGCAAAGGCTCCTAAACAACCACTGCTAAACATACTTCCACTATACATTCTCCCATATTTTGAAAATGAATACTATAAATTACAAATATGACACTTTTTATAAACTCCAGCCTGAGTTCCAGGCAAGCAGAAACTGGCACGCAAGCAGCAGCCGACGAGACAGCAATCCCAGATGTCATGAAACTACTGCAGCAGTGTCCGTGCCCAACTGGAGGCTCGTTACCATGTAATAAAACAGAACATCTTCCTCCAGTTGAGTTCCCTACCTGCTCGTGTAGTTTGCTTGACAGCAGGACAGCAATCCAACAATAATACAGATTGCCGCTGTCTTCTTCTGATGTATTTTTCCAGATTTTTCAGTCAACTATGCCCCATGGGTTTTGAGATTCAAAAACAGACTGCCCTGTTATTTGGCTGTAGGCTTGGTACATTGCTTTTAAACATCAAATTCTGGTTATTTCAGCATGACATTGTTGTCGCAGTCTTTCCAAACCACTTTAAACTTGAGCTTTCTGGTTGTCTTCTTTCTTGCTGATCTTGGAGTGCTGAAAACCCAATGAGCCACTAAGTTCTTCTCTCCAATTGACCAGGTTCATAAAACTGCAATTCAGTCAATACCATACCCAGGCTATTCAAAATTCTTGGCACTACAACACATCCCTTCCCGTTGGCTTCTTTTCTGCAGAAGAGAAATACTACTAACATGCTTCCTATAAGGATGTGCTAAACATTTTATGATCAAAATATTGCAATCCTGGTCTAGATTATTTCAACTTTATAGAATGTGTTTCAATGTCAGAATAGCCTATTCAATTTTACCAGAAATGTTCTAATCTCAAAATTGCTAATAATAATGGGTTCATGTCATTTCAACAGGTCAATTTCCCTAACCTCTGACTTTCAGTACATGTTGTGTGCATTCACCTGATCATTAAATAACAGCAGCATTATCTGCAAAGTTAAACATAATAATGGAGTTTTTGTAACAGGTTGAAGCTGCATAGCTACCAAGTCATAATTCCACCTATATTAAGAATCCCTTTGAGAACTGCCAAGGTGAGTGAAATTACATTGTTCATTTTGAAACAACATGCCTTCTCTGATGCTTCTCATAGATGTAAACAACCAGTGAGTAAAATAAGAAAGAGGAGATGATTAATTCTAAACAAATTCTAAGCTTCTAAGCCATAGAGACTGGAATTAATTGTAATGGCATTTCCATATACTATTGTTTGCACTCCAATGGTATAACCAAAACTTATCCTCTTTCCATTGCACATAAAAGGTAAATAAAATAAAACCAAACAGAGTCTTGTGCTTTGGGTATGTTGGTACCCAAGGAAATAATTAGCATAATTCTTGTTAATTTCACCCCAGTAAGTCAAGGCAAGATTCCTTTAAAAGACCTTCTAGATTTGCTGAGGAATTTGGTTCAATGGGAAATAGCCCTCTCCCATGTGGTGCAGTGCTTCAACCATTAAAAGGAAAAACAGGCATTATTTTGTGCAATTTTGATGATACGTGGCCTGCCTGCTAGGTAATCAGACAATATACCAAATTAACGTGAGCTTGAAGCTGCACAGAATTTGAATGTATCTCTTCGAACCGTAGCTATGTCTTTCCAGCTTTCTGTTTCTGTAACATTTACACATTCAGAGGACTTTTGTGGGAATCATTCTCAGCATCCCAAGGACAATATCATTTGGACCCACTCAGAGTTGGAAACAGATGAGCAAAAATGACTGAATTAATAGCTGGTAATGTTATCCAGGATGATTCTGAGCTGGTTATTTCTGAGGCACTAAAACAAAACATCTCAAAACCATTCTTGATAACATCTAGATTCTTGCAGTTTAAATCCTTGCTTTTCTTTCTGATGAAAGCCTCCTGGGAGGTGAGAAGTGGTTAGGCTAAGGCAGTGGGTACATGAATACATACTTCAGCACTTGGATATTTTCATCTGCCTTAAAGGAGGCAGTGATGGCTCCCTTTAGCAAGGAACTATTGCATGACCCAAGAATACTGGATAATTATCAACTTTCAAACTCCCATTTGAATTTATAGGGGGAGGTAGGTGGACTACTTAACATCAATGTGAAATCAATGGGGATGGATATTTATCAACATAGGAATAGAGATCAGGTTTAATTATAGTGGGAGTTCTTGAATCCACTATTGTCATTTTAAATCCAAATGGCTTTTGTCAGGATTACCATCTTTAGGCTCCAAAATTTGGATTTCCACTGGATGCAGCAGGAAGAGTTAGGTTGTTGTTCTATTTTGCTGCTATCTAGTTGTCATCCAGATTTTTGCATTTCCAGTGAGGTAGCCTTAGCCTCTATGGGAACTACCCTATGCATTTTTCATGAATAGGGATAGCCTAAGTCAGTCTTTCCCAATCTTTGGGCTTGGAGTTCTTAGAAATGCGGTCAACTTGCAGACTTCCACTTATCTGGAGGAAAACTGGTTAGAAAATGTTGGTCTAAACATGGATGTTCATGATCATCATAAACATATTTAATCTGGCACATGTTTTACATTGGAATACAATTGATCCAAAAAGTTGCAACTGATGCAGCAAGATATTTGGTAGAATGCCTGGTTCTTCACATACTATACACAGCTGAGGAAGCAATGCTAACTGAAATACAGTATATTGGTAACTACTGCTACTTAGATATATTCCTAAGCATCCATAAGGCAAATGATAACACCTCTTTTTTTTAATCAGGATTTATAGCAGAAGTTTATGACCATGTTCAAGAAATATGCATATTGTTTTGAGATATAAATCCTGATCCAGGAGGCAGTACTAAAAATGCTTAAATAAATACAACCTTGCTATCTTTAAAGAGAGATGTTAAGAATAGTATTCTAGTAGAGAACAGAAATCATTATTTTTTTCTTGATGTAAGCTGCCCAGAATCATCAGAAAGTTAAGTGGCCTTTAAATTTAGTAAATGAATGCCAGAAAGAAAATTAAACCGCTCATTGCAATCCTTTTAATTTCAGTTCCAATTTTTAATTATTTATTCTTTCATTCGATTTTGGCGCCACCCAATTCTGAACCGACCCCAGCTGTGCAATCTTGTTTATACTCTCCGCTCAAAATATTGAGTCCGTCGGATTTATTTCCACATAAGTTTGGTGTAGCAGTTCAATTTTTTTTTGTGGACAAAATTAAATTCGCCGATTCAAAGGAGTTTCCCCAGGAACGCTGCAACATCGAAACGCTGACATTTAAAGGGGGGGGGGGTGACCCAGTAAATAGGAACCACTTCTCCGAGGATAGAGGAGTCATCGATTAACGGCAACCTCTCTTGTTAATAAGTCCTTCTTGTTCTCCCTTTAAACCTCTCTGAGTGAAAGAGTCATAAATCTACCTAAATCGCTATTTGTAACATTCCCTCCCCGGCCGCCTTGGCGGTTTCCATGACAACGAGATTCCTTTCCCACCCTACGTTCCATTCAAGTTCAGGCCGCAGCTCAGCCTCCCTCCTCACGTGACCAGTCTCCCGGCTTCAGCCGCCGCTTCCGGGTGGGTGTGGGCTTTACTCTCGTCCGGCCCTGAGGCGTTGAAAGGGAAGGGGGGGGGAGGGAGGAGGAGGAGGAGGAAAGAAGGAGGTTCCCCCCAACATGGCGGCGCGCAGAGCGGGTGGCGGCAACGGTAACACGACCGGGAGTAGCGCTTGAACCCGAGCTGAAAGAGACGCCATGGAAAGCGAGGAAGAACAGCACATGACCACGCTGCTTTGCATGGGGTTCTCGGATGCAGCCGCCATCCGAAGGGCCCTCCGCTTGGCCAAGAACGACATCAACGAGGCCGTGGCGCTGCTCACCAACGAGCGGCCCGGTCTGCACTATGAGCCCATGGACAGCGGCGGCGGAGGCGGCGAGAACAGCGGACCGGGAGGCCCTCAGCAAAGCGGCGGCTCGCGCGGCGGAGGGGACGGCGACAGCAGCGGGGGCAGCGGCGGTGGTGGTGGTGGGAACGGCGGGGGCGGCACCACCGGCTTCGACCCACCCCCTGCCTACCATGAGGTGGTGGAAAACGAGGTAAAGAAGAGGTCGCTGGGGGAGTGGGGCTAACGGGGAGCCTGCCAGGGACCCTGTGGGATCTATGCCGGAATGATTCGGTGACAGGCGTCCAGGCACGGCCCTCCCGCCGCGGTGCTCCAGGTGTTGACACAGCGGCCGCTCGGTTTTTACCGCTTTCTCTCTCTCGCAGGGCTGGAAAACGAGGCATTTATATACGGCATTGCTCGGGAATCCCTTCTTGAGAGTCCTAAGTTTTTCAATCAGAATAGACCTGGAAGGGACCTTGGAGGTCGTCTAGTCCAACCCCACCCCTGCTCAAGCCGGAGACTTGAGCATTTCATTTCAGATAGGTGGCTGCCCCCAGTCTTTTCTTAAAAACCTTTTTTTCCCCCCGCGCCCCCCCCCCCCCCCCCGCCTTGTTTGTTTGCTTTCTTTTCCCGCCCGGCCATTCGTAAGATACAAAAAGATTTCAATTTTGAGATGTTTCTGAATACCACATATGGGCGGGAGGGAAGCTTATTTCCCCTAATTCCTGACGACTCGATTTCCCCAATCGCAACTAAGCGGCCTGTCAGAGGACTGAAGGGAAGTATTAAACCGCTTGCTTGATTGCTAGTCTTGTGCATGTTGTCCTTGTTTGGCACGGAATCCTCGTAGCCTCAAGCTTAGGAAAAGAGGCTTCCGTGCAAAGTCCTGTTTGGGCTGTAATAGTGAAAGTTGATGAGTTGTGACTTCTCTTTGTCACCGGGTCGGTGCAGATCGAAACGTAGTTTCGGGTTGGTTTGTTTTTAAAGAAGAAGCTGGTATTGTATGTTGTTTTTCTTTGCTGTTGTTTAACCAAAGCACTTTCCTCCAATCCTACACCTGTTAATAATTCCAATGGCTTTGTTTCTATGCTGCTGTAATAATTTTTATTACACTGCCTTGTTTTTTTAAAAAAAGTTGCTGGATTTTTGTGTTACAAATGGGACAGAAGGGGCAGAAGGAATTGCAGACCTGCATGATATTGGGCTCATAAAAAACCTGAATTATTCTGGTCTGTGAGAAAAATATTATGGCACCTGCAATTGTAGGTTAATACCAGCAAAACTGCCAAAAATGAGTTTGTGAGCTTTCAGATTTGTTTCTGAAAGAACCTCAGGTAGTATAAAAATATGGATATGAGGAAGAAACCTGAAGGCCCTCATATCTTTAAGTTATATGTGACCGAGAAACATGTTTAGATGAGATTATAAATTTGTGAATTAGCTTTTGATAAATACTGTAAAAACCTAGAATCTTAGAACAGCAAAAACAAAAATGTACTATTTAGACTGATGTCATATTTTTTCATTCTTTTTTGCCTAACTATAATTATTGGAATTTTGTTTAGAAAAAAACAGATTCTCTCATGTTTTCAGAAATATATGATCAGTCATTACTGCTTTGTCCTAAGGTATGATACCTTCAGGACTTACTAACCTACTGTCTCATCTAGTTTACAGTCTCCATCTTTTCAATGACTCATCATCCAAAAAATACCACTTGGTCCTCTTGGGCATAGTTTTGTGGCAAAAAGTTCAGATGAATCTGGATTTTTACATTACAGTTGCAAATTATTACAATCATTACGTGAGGTGACCACATGATTGTCTCACTTAACAGCCTGCATCTCTGCTCTCTCCAATGTGGTGGTTAAGCAAAGCACAGGATGCCCAAGTCCTGCAACGACTGGGATGGTGTGATGGGGGGATCGATAATGTACTTGTAATCAGTTGTAAGGGCAAATTACTGTGGGGTGCTGCGGTGACAGTAAATTTGAAGCAGTACTGCAAGTAACTTTTGGGATTGGTCCATTGTAACTTTGGCCACTAAGCAACTTACGTTAAGGACTACCTGCAGTCTTCCCCCCACAAACAGTGGAACATAAAATAGTGTTTTTTATCAGGGCAATCTGGTCTACCCAAATATGGGACTCAGCTATTGCTTCTGCTTTCCATACCCACTCCTGGTTTAGTGAAGGGGAAAAAGTTGTGATATGTCACATGCCAACTACTTGACGATGTGAATTTGACACCCCTGTTCTAGTCAATAAAAGGGTAAATACCTTTCTTACATGCCTTTGCAGCTTCCATCTATCTTGTATAACACTCCTATTTATCAAACATATCTGTTCCAATGAATGATGAATCTGTGAAAACTTGTTAAGTAAAATTTGATGAATAGTGCATCAGTTTATTAATGTACATTTTTTGCGTCTCCCTCAACATAAGTATATACACATCTTTTTTTTCCATTTCCAGTCTTGTTCCTTTTTGCTCAAAGTTATTGGCTCTTTGGCTATTTTTCCTGTTTAAGCAGATCAATGAGGATTGCCCTTTCTTATCCTTTCCAGTGTTTCATATGACTGTTGTCTGACATATCTTACATTCCAGTGAGTTCCTAAATATACAGTGTTGTAAGAAATTTTGTGAACTCTAGAATTTTGTATAACTTGCAATACTACAACTGAATATGTGATCTGAACTTTTTACTAACAAAGAGATACTGGTTAAATAAAAAACACACAAAACTCACGTGTTTATTGATCTCATTGAGCCAACAATATCTACCATCTTTATTAGAAAAGGATACAAAATTTTGAATTTAGTAATTGAAAAATTGCTTCAACTCATGTTAATCTTTGCCTGTCTTTCATATACTGCCTGGATGGCAATTGGGACTGCCAGAATTGCCATCATAATTTGATGCAGTCACATGATATTGGACCTTTCAACTGCATTCTTAGTGATGGAGTTCTTGGTCCCAATTGCCATTATTAAATGAGGACTATTTGTAATAAATTCCAATCATAAAATCACATTAATACACTGTGCTGAACCTCCTGGCCCAAATACCTGAGGAACCAGCCAGGGCTTCAGAGCTTTATGAAAAGCCAACAGAGCTCTGGGTGGCTTCTGTTCTCCAATGCAGCCACTGTAACAGAGAAGGCTCCTGGATCCAACAAAATGATGTCATTTAGGGGAGGGGACCTGGAGCATGCCCTCTCTGCTAGATCTGGTGAATGAGCAAAAACAATGGGAGAAAGGTGGTTCCCTCAAGTTGCCTGGCCTTTTGCCACATAGAGGTTTATGGGTAACAACCAGCAAATTAAATTGTACCTAACAGCCTACTAGGAAGCCAGTGCAGCTCATGGAGCAGCGGTGTTACAGGAATGTAACAATGCCAAAAACTTCCCATGCCGCTGCATTCTGGACCAGCTACAGCTTCCAAATGCTCTTTAAGAGCAACCCCTAGAGAGCACATTACAGTCATCGAAACAAAAGGTGAGTAATTCATGAATTAACACGAACAAGGGCTCTAGTTCAGAAATGAGCTGTGAGTTCAGGAGAACTCCAAATTTTACACCAATTTTGACTGGGACCTTATGCCAACAGCTAACCAGTGTTTTCATGTAGATGTTAAATATCAGTACTGAACTGGAACTGGCCCTGAAGAAAGAAAAGAGAATCACTGTAATTTGGTGCCTTCCAATCCCCTAGATCAGGCCAGAAGGATAACATGATCCAAGGCCACTGAGAGATCATGGAGGTCTAGGATGGATACATTAACTCCATCCCAAGTCCACCAGAGTAATCCACAAACATAATCAATGCCATCTCAGTGCTATAAATCCTGAACCTGTCTAAAATCAATTGATTGATTGTATTCCATGTGTTTTTATCTCCCACAACTAGATAGTTATTTGACACATGGCAAACAAGGCTAGGGAGGCTATAAAGTCCCGGCAGCCAACGTTTTCTAATCCATTTGTTGCACCGGTATACCACAAGAGGACAAACTAACTTCACACCAACTGGCCTGCAGTGTTCTCAACGGAAGTTGGCTCATCTGGGACTTTCCTCGGCCAATTGTGTCCAGGCAAATCTGGCAGTAGTTCCAGCTCCCCACACAGAATGCAGCCAGCAGTTTCCCACCACCAAAATGGCAGTACCTATCTATCTACTTGCAAACAATGCTTTCAAACTGCTAAGTGGGCAGTAGTTAGGGACAAGAGACAGGAGCTCACCCTTTCCTGCAGAGCTGGATTTGAACAACCAAAGTGCTGGCAATTGCTCAGCACATTCAGCGTCATTAAGCCTCTGCACCACCACATCCCCTACTAGATATGTCTATCCCGACTAAAAAGGGTCCACATAATCTTTTTTCGAGACCCTCTGGAACTATAAGACAGCAATCTTCCCTAAAAAGGAAAGGTTGGAGCCTTAGGAAAAATTATCTAGATCTATTGAATCAAGTGATGGACTCTTAAGGATATATAATTCTAAATTAGCAGTAGTTATATAATTCTAAACTTCCATATTACCACTATATTGTCTGACTGTAAATGTTTCTGTTACTCTTCCGCCAAATGATTTCAGTGTAGTTTTTCCTACATTTTACCATATTGGCCTCTATTAATTCCTTTCTATGGTTGTTTTTAAATTGTTCTACCTTATAGTAATTTTTCCTGTGATTTCTCTGACCATGTTAAAAACATGCTTACTTAAACTTTGCTGATAGCCTTGATCAAAATATCTTCTTTTTTTTTCTTTTTTTTTTTTGCTTCTCATTAGAAATCTGTGTTCGGTGATAGTAAGCGTTTCTTGTTGCCCAAGAGACTCTTAACTTTTGCCGTGTTTCATTTCATTTCATTTATTCGCTAACATGGTAGCTTGTTCTGAAATCCTTGGGGATATTTTGCTCTTTGAAATTTTGTAGTGTGTGTGTTTCAGTGCTCAGAATGTCTCTTACCATTTCCCATAGCTCCTTGGGTTTTCTTTCAAATAACTGTAATTTCCTTACAATGCTTTTGTCTTCCGATTTGTATGTCTTCCAGCTCAAATCTTTCTGCTAAATTTACTCTCTTTAGCTTTCGAAGCCTAATTCACTGCAAATAAACTGAACATTGTTGGTACCTGGAAGCGTGGTGTCTCATTTGATTGCACCCCTCATTTGCTCTTTCCTGTTATGTAATCAGTTTGTTCAAATGTCCCTTG